GGGTATCATTTTCATCATGTTTATACCGTGCCTGCCAGTTCATTTCTGTCTGCCATTTCCCTTTCGGCTTTGTTTCTAATGTGCCCAACGAGTTCCATATGTTATTTGAATTACCTTCGATTTCTTCCTTACTATTGTCTATGCTTACATTGGTTATTTGATGTGTAGCTTTTACGTTATTTCTAGTTTAGTGATAACCGTTTGTTTCAAGTTCAACATCTAATAGGAGAAAATCAAGTATGGAATGTTGTTTAGTCAACTTTACGTGTGCCTACTTTCTCTCTACTCTAGTTTTAAGCTTCCTGGGAACAAACTCGTCAAGTGGCCTAAGTGGTAACAAAATGTTATTATTCCTAGAAGATCATGGGTTCAAGCAATTATATCTGCAAGATGTGTGTATTATCAATCGATAAAAAAGATTTTAAACAAATACTATCTTATAATCACACCGTACTATTAAAAAAGACTTTTCAATAACCTACATTCTCCATTTTAATATTTATGAAATATAATAAATTTGTCTCTCTACATTACTGTTGAAGAACGGACCGACAAAAGGAGCGCATTGAGCTGATTGTGTTAAAAAAATGTAGCAACATATATTAAATTTGTAAGTGTGACATAAAATACCAACAAATTTGGTCGAAGGGGTCATTTTATAGTTTCCAATTTTAACATAAGTTTTTTGGATCGGAAATTTCTCAAACCACCCGTTTATTCCACATGTTTCAGTAGTTAAGTTCAATTCAATAAGCAAGCCACCCAGGGTGAACCCACATTGGATATGGGATTGATTTTTGTGGGGTTATAATATATTAAAGTAATTTTTCTTAATAAATGTAATTTTCCAGATTTATATTTGTATTTTGTTTCTATATAGACAGTTCATTGTTAACTTAAATTATCATAAATCAATATTCATCCTTAGTAAATTAGATAATAATAATAATAAATATAAATATAAATGATTTTTTAATAATTTACATAATCAAATTTACTAAGTATTAAATATAATATAATTGTTTCAGGTTTAAACTTATTCTAATTCTTCTATATTTATGATAAATTATTTAAATGTTTATATAATAATTAAAATTTCTTTATATTAATACTAATATAAACAAATGAAACATAACCATCCTGTTTAAAACATAAAACTTTAAAAGAAGTATAAGTTATTATAAAACTAAATTAAATATATGTACTTCTCTATAATAAGTGTTTTTACAAACTAATAACTAGATTTAAAAATATAATTATATTTGTCGTGCATATAAAATTTTAAATATTTGACACCCATCAAATAATTGTATTTTTCAAATCCCACTAAGAGTGCATGGACTTCATTTTCACGTTGCAACATCTTTTTTTTGAAAGAGGGTACTTTGTATTAGATAAATGCAAAGTACACCACCTCAAGGACCTCTTAAAAATGAAAACATCTAGTACAATTGTTTCCTTTCTATCTTCAAATGACATTTCAAAATGAAAATAAGGTCGGTTTAAGTGGATATCAAATGGACCATGTGGTTTATTATTAACCATGCACATTTGCCAGAGTATTTTCCCCGTCCTTTGGTTTCGTACTCTTCCATGACAAAAAATATCACTTCAATAATTTTATTTATTTTTCAACGACATGTGATCTAAATAGAATCAAAATATAATGTTAGATCTAATATTAAAATAAATAATTAAACGATTAAAATGAAACTAAAATGATAATTGGATAACTAAATACGTAGTTTATGTGAGTTTTATTTTAGCAACTTTAGTACATAAGCAAATCGTCAAAGACTAGGACTATTTTGGCACCTTACTTAGTAATCATTCTCAAAAGTGGTACCTAGCTTTTGTTTTGGACTACTTGGACACTTGAATTTCAAAATTGCCAAAGACTTTCGTATTATCATTTATTTAGTTTTTTATAATCATTTTGACATTTAAACTTTTTAATCATTTCGAAAGTAATACTTGTATGATCTATGTGAATAAACATGAAATATGGTTGTTAGATTGCTAAAATATTAAATCGCACAAGAAATAAATTTTTTATATATCGATACAAGTGGGTGGATCTCTATTTAATATAATATTTAGACTCAATACCTACTTTAGCCCCTCTACTTTAGTACAATTTTCACTTTTGACTCTTTTACTTTTTTAGTCAATTTGGTTCATCAGCTTTCAATCTGATATCACTTTAGTCCCTAGATGACTCCCTCTAAAACAAAAGCGATGACGTGACTCAATTAGATTCTACTATGTGCAAAAGGAAAATATAAAAACATCAATTACATGTGATAACATCTGGTAGGGTCAAGTGACATTTTTATCGAAAAATATTAAAGAAATAAAGTGATAACAAATTGAAAGTTGAAAGATTAAACTGCAAAAAAAATAGTAAAAGAGTTAAAGTAATAATTTAACTAAAGTTTCGATGATAGCCTGCTGAGATTTATATCGAAAGTTTGGATGAGTTCGACGTGAGAGAAATTTCGTCGCGTGTTTGAAACTAATTTTCTAAGCCCGTATTGGTCGGTTTATACTAGAATAGTCAATACAATACCAACTGTACTGTTATACACTCATTTTAAATGAGTAAATTTTGATTGGATAAAGAAAGAATAAGCATGTGTTGTTATTAATTTGTTAAAAGACACTTGTACAATACATGTCATATGAGAAACAGATAGAGGTACTTGTTCACTGTTTAGTCAAAAATAATTAAAACATGATTTCGACCTGACATTGGTGCTTTTGAGTGGTGTAGACTCTTCTCATAATCTTTTAATGTACTTCTTTTCCTCGATTTTCACATGGATAAATAATTCACCACAAAGAGAGGAGGATAATTATTTCCACGGTCGGTTTCTCTATTGGTTAACACCTTCCTTTTCGACTTCACCTCAAACCAACGTTATCTCTTCGTCGCAAAATATTACGACTTTGACCTAAATATGTCATTGCTTTCACAACAATTAATTTGAGAAAATAAATTATATTTTTGAGCAGATAATGATATGCATAATGATTGCCTCATAAAATAGACACTAAGATTTTACATAAAAAATCCTTTCAAAAAAAATCTACGGGTAGAAAAAGAGAAAATTTATTAATGTCAAGAGAAGAATAATACAATAAGAGTAATTGTGGACAACATAATCTCTAACCCTAATCCTCAGTATCTATTTATAGTGATACATACTTGATTACAAAGGAAATTATATAAAGTAGAAATCTACTTTAATAAAAAAATTCTACTTTCAATCAAATAAGGTTTCTTATTTTTCTAAATTTATACATTAAATAATTTGTGTCACTTTGAAGATTCAAAATCTAATAATATTTGTTCAAGTGACATGTTTCAGTAAAAAAAAGGTTTAGTTTGTTTTTTATAAAATTCAGTTTTATTTGAATATCTTAAATAAATTAAAAAATTACATAATTTTTTTAAAAAATAATTAAATTAAAAGAATTATAATTAATTATAATTTTTTTAAATTATGAAAAATCAAATTAATTTTTAAAAATGATAATAATAATTATATATTTAAACTCTTCAAATCCAAATACAACATCAATCGTTAACTTTATTTTAGAGAAAATTATTTTATCACCTTATCACATTTTTTTATAATATAAATTTAATTTCTTTAAAATATTTAATTAAATTTTAAATTTATATTCATTTAAACGTTATAATAATTCTATTAAAAAATTGTTATACTATTTAAAAATACATACATCTAAATATTATAATAACAATTATACCAACGGACGTCTTTAATTCAAGGTCAATGATGCATGCATGAAAGAGCTAAGCCTTGGCGCAACTCCCAAGTGAAATCTCATTCCATTAAGGATAAAACGGGGAGTCCAATAATGCATAAGCAACCAAAATTTTATGGATCCAGATCCAACAGGCTTTATATTTTCACATTTCAAAATGTAATGGGAGATGTCAAATTGATCATCAATTTTTGAATTAATCAGTGATATCTTATTGGATTCTAATTTTATTTTTTAAGATCAAAACTTTGTTCAATGTTGGCTGAGACTACTCATTTACACAATAAAAATAAGAGTATTCAGTTATTTATATATTCTCGTGATTTCATATTGGTTATTTAACTGTTTTTCTTCAAATCATATATGGTATTACGTTTTGGTCACCTATCGTTGAAATATAGAACTATTGAATAGCAATTTTCATTTTTCTTTCAATGATGACATGAAATTACTAAGAGTATTTTTGGTTCGATTTTTCAATAAAATACGAATCGAAAGATACTTTGTTGTTTTTAAAAATGAAACCAAAATCAAATGGTATAAAAATCATGGTTTTCAATTCGGTTTGGTTAGATTCAATTTTGTTTTGCAGTTTTTGACTGTTTAATATTTTTCAAACTCAATATCCAAAGAAAGTAAATTTAAAGCTTAAATCAAGTGTAAATATACAAATTAAAATTCAGAAAAAATATAATTAGTTTTAAGATTTTATTTATTTAAGTTTCTCTTATAATAAATTCAAAATAAATTTATTTTGAATAATTATTTTCTTTCTTTTTCTTCTAATTCCATTTGATTTGGAACAAAAGATTTCCATACGAAAAAAAAAATCAAAATCAAAATCGAACTGAATTGTATAATTATATTTTTAAACCAAACCAAACCAAAACCGAACCACAAAATGAAAAACCTGAATTGAATTGAACCACATAGCTCGGGTCAATTTTTCGATTTTCTCAGTTTTGTTGCTCAACCCTGTTATTACCTTATGGAAACATGTTAACGACACTATTAATTTTTTAATTGCAGACATCCAAAATATAACATTAGATATGATTTTAAGAAAAAATATAATTAAGTGACTAAAATGGATGATTGGGACTAAGTGAGTTTACCCTATAAATAACGATATCGAATAACACCATCTTTAAGAGCACTTTTGCGTTTGCTAAAAAATCAATATAATAAGGGGTGGATCAGATAATCTGGTGCATATGAAAACGAATAAAGCATAAGACAAACCAACAAAAAGAATTGTAACAAAAACTCGTATGATCACACTTGAAAAATGATGTTATTGGTAGGAAGCTGTTGCATTTGATATATGACTTCGAGCCTTTTGTGCCTGTAATTGAGACCAAAGAAAATAACTTTACCTAGAAAACAATGTAAAACAAACAGAAAGGACATATTCAAAGTATTACAAAACCTTACCTCTATTTCCCAGTTGCATTTGATTGTTATGATAACTAGTATCAATGTCTGAACCACAGTTCCACATATCATTCCAGCCCAGATACCCTGGTTTGATATTTCAAACATAGCATGCTTCAGTTCTAAAAACTAGATATTTGTTCTCATGTCTTGTAGAGTGAAACAGGGGAAATTTCAGACACCGTCTTTTTACGAAATAGAAGACTCTTTAATTGAAAACTTGCCTTGATGCCGAATTGAAGCCATCCGAAGAAGACACCGAGAGTAACTCCGACTAAATAGTAGCTACCTATGTTTACAAATGCCACCACACCTTGCCGACCGGATCTAACAGCCACACCTGAAAGCGAAACCAATGATCAAATTATATGATGAACCATATGTCATGATTGCAAATAGATATTCGTTGTTTGAGCTTATGACCTGAAAGAACTGGTTGGATGCAGTTGAGAAGAATGGTGAACGCCAATAAGGTTGAGAACTGATTAAACATTGTAATAACATAGGAACTTGAGGTGAAGATCATTGCAAGTGCCTCATGAAAGGCCATAATAATTGACCAAAAGAAAAATCCAACTGCTAGAGATGTAATCAATGACACTATAGTTGCAAATTTGGCACCGTTGGCATTGCCTGCACCGAGCTCATTTGCTACACGCACACTGCATTAAGAAAATACAACAGTTTGTAAAAACGGAATGGATGAAAGAGCAGCAAGCAAGGGTGAAAGATGAAAACAATGAAAGCAATAAATGATCCAGTCCTGTGCATCGTGTATGACCCAATGCCGAGCATATAAATTGGTGATGGTTCAATATTTTATAGCATATAGGATATAAAAGTGGTATGGAGATTCATCATTTTACCAGAGACAATAAGATGAATAAGATTAAGCAACTGCAGAACATGTATGACACAAGAAAAGGAATCAGAATAACTCGTCCAAAACACCAATGAGAGAGGAATGTTCCATTTTATTCAAGTTAAAGACAATAGAAATTATCCACTTTATACCTTCCTTTTCTCCTTTCAACTATTGGTATTCCTATTTCTACTGATTAGCACTTGTATAGTGAGATGGTAAGGGGGTTTTAGGAACAGCAACATACCCGGTTGCGGCTAAAAACCCCAACGGAATCATGGATTCCCAAGCAGAGATTGATATGCTGCCAAACAAAGAATTGAACATTCATCAAAGGGAAGTAGCATAGTATGCAAACAGTAACCAAATAGTAGAAATTGAAAAAAAAATAAGCAATAAAGGTGTGCCAAGGAAGTGGAACCAACCAAATTGAAAGAGCACCAATTGCAGTTTCTATATTGTGCAAATATCCAGACACTATAATCAATATTATGTAATAAAAGTTCTCCAAGCTGAAACATCAAAACCCTACAATCTATTACGAATTACTTCAGTATTATAAGAGATTCAATCATGAATAGGTAAGAGAGACCAAGCACATACAAGACCATAACACCAGAGGCCAAAGCGAGTTTGAAAAAATCCCAGAGCTCAAAGAAAGCCTGTGCAAAGAAACCAGTCCAAGAAAGTGGACAACCACCACCAACAGCATAAACAAAGAGTCCCACAACAGTCAACCACCAGGAGAAATCAAGGGTGATGGCAGTCCCAACAACCCCAACTCCCAACTTGTAAACAAAAACCCAACTTATTAACAAGTGAACTGCAAGTTGGGTTTTTGCAGAAACCCAAGCAATCACTGCAGTCTTCAGCTGGCTCTGTATAAATTTTTGCAGTGTGAAGTATGGTAAGCTTAAGTGAAATGGTATCAGCCAAATTGCAACTAAACCCGTTTGGTCAGCCACATTGGTTGGTTGTCCCATGAGCTTTAAAACTGGAGCAGCAAAAATGAATAAAGGTAGTAAAAGAATGCAACAAATGAAGAGAACAATCCATGAACGTCGTTGCAAGTAAACACCCAACATATGATACTGCTTGGCTCCGTATGCTTGTCCACATAAAGTCTCAAGTTCGCTAGCCATTCCTAACTATCAAATAAAGTTTTGGGTGTCAAGATTCAAAGAAGATATTGTGAAAAGAGAAGAAAAAAAAAAGTTTCGACGTGGGTTATGAGTTGTTACCAAGATTCCAAAAGCGATGGAGATAATAACAGTGGTGGCAATGGAAATGGCAGCGAGGTTGAGGTCACCAAGGTGGCCGGCAAATGCTTGAGTTATGACAGTCATGGAGAGCATGGCCATTTTTTGGCGTCTGACAGAGATCCTTTGTCTGTACCATCACGCGGCAATCAGAGGTTTTGGCTTTGAGGAACGTACCTCGGGCCCCGGAGACGCTGTCTATGCCACCACCGCGCAATCGTTGACCCTGAAGATACAGACATACAGTGGCGTGTCTTCAACTCCAGTCAGATCTGTAGCCTTTATTATTGAATATATAAAACCCAAGAAATTTTAAATTACCAATAGAATCCACCGGTCTGCTAAACTTCTAGTTCTAACGAGGCAGGATCCATAATCTTCTATAAATTAGTAGACAACCATATGAAATTCATTTTGATTCATTGGTGAAGTCTTTGAAACCATTCATATTTTTTTTCAGTGTAGAATGATTATAAGATATTTATTAAAAAAAATTAATTATTGATGATGCATATATGTTTTACCAGCATAGTTATTCAAATATAAAATCTCTAGAGAGAATAATATTTATTTTTATACTAAGTCATTCAATAAATTCAAATAAAGATATTTTTAGATGGAAATAAAATTATTATATTAATTATGATGATGATAATTTTTTTTGGTGAGCCAGATTATTGAGAGCAAAGCACGACCATCAGTTGTAGAACGTTTGTTAGACGTAACGTCAAAAATATAATTCTTATTGGACCTTCTTGATAATTAACAGTAAATGCACTTACGATTCTAGCCGTATCTAAAGAATCCATCCAGTCATCCAAATATTATTTTTTACATATTTTAATATTACAATTAACTACAAGTCATAGGTCCTAATACTTTGGCTCTTGCATTAATTTTCTTTGACAATAAACATGGTTTACCGGATAATCATAAGAAAACAAGTACTCCACTAAACATCAACACTAATCAATCATGTCTTAAATGTTATAGAATAAAGATTATTTTGAGGTTAGATTCACAAAAAGGTAATTGCTTTGTCAATAATGGCTGCAGATATATGGAGTGACGATCTCCTCCATAAAGTTGCGTCATTTTTACAAAGTGGCTAACCACGAATAAAAAAAGGACAAGTTAACCACTTTAGGTATGATTAATCAATGGATGGGAGGGAACCTAAGCCCGATGATGCCACCATGAGGAAAGCTCTCCTAGTAGTAAACTGCATCATCCTTTCTATAGGCAACTGCGGCGGTCCACTTATAGCGCGCCTCTACTTCATCCATGGGGGGAAACGAGTCTGGTTCTCGAGCTGGCTCCAGACCGTAGGTTGTCGCATCATCTTACTCCTCATCGCTTGTGCTTACATGTACCGTTCTAGGACCTCCGAACCCACATCGGAAAACAAGTTTTTCTACATGAAACCACTTGTTCATCGCCTCCGCCGTCATCGGAATCCTCACGGGCCTTGACAACTATTTCTACGCCTACGGCTTGTCGTCTTCCCGTTTCGACTTCTTCTTTAATCATCGCCTCGGAGTTGGCTTTCACCGCGGGGTTTGCTTTCCTGTTGGTGAAACAAAAGTTCAGTGCTTACTCCATAAACGCTGTGTTCCTGTTGACCATAGGGGCAGGTGTTTTGGCTTTGCATTCAAGCAGCGACCGGCCTGAGAATGAATCGAACAGGGAATACATTTTAGGGTTCTTAATGACCATAGCCGCGTCGGCTTTGTATGGATTTATATTGTCTTTGGTGGAATTAACGTACAAGAAGGCAAATCAAGAAATCAGTTACGCGCTTGTGATGGAGATTCAGATGGTGATGTTTGTTTGCTACTGGCTTTTGCACCGTCGGCATGCTGGTCAACAATGATTTCAAGGTTTGTTTTTATTCTCTTTCTTAGCTATTCCTTCGCTTAGACCCGCGTTTAAAAGTAGATATGCCGAACCTTTTTAAATTATTGGTTTAAGAAAATCCTTTTTAGTAGGAGATTGAAGGCAAGTAAAGGCATTTTCTTTTACTTGTTTAAACAATCATTTCATTCTATAACTATGATGAACAGAAACATTGATTTTGTTTCATGGCAGGTAATGGGAAGGGAGGCAAGGGAATTCGAGCTGGGAGAAAGGAAATATTACGTTGTTGCGATTTGCAGTGCAATAGTATGGCAGTGTTTCTTCTTGGGGGGAATAGGAGTAATCCTTTTATGCTTCATCTCTGCTATCGGGCGTTGTGATTGCTGTTCTGTTACCTGTTACAGAGATTCTAGCGGTGTTTTTGTACGACGAGAAGTTTGAAGCAGAGAAGGGTGTGTGTGGCCCTTGCTCTTTCACTCTGGGGCTTCCTTTCCTACTTCTATGGTGACATCAAGCGAATGAGGAAAAATAAAGTGGCTCCCCAAACCCACATGCAATCATCTAATCGTCTCCAAAGCACGGTTTAAAAGTATAGATTATCACTAAATTGTTTCTTTTATGGGAATTCATTTCCCACTTATATAAGAAATTGCCTTCACCCATAGTCCTTGTAACAACTATTCATACGTTAAATTCCCACAACTTTTCTCCATTATATTATTATTATTTTGAATAGTATGAGAAGATTGTAAGATAATATTTGTCCAGATTTTTTTTAATCAATTAATGATGCACATATATCTTGCAAAGACAACTATTCAAACTTAAGACCTCTAGAGAGAACAACATTTTTTATCACTAAGAATACTTGATGAGTTCTATGTGGAAAAGTCAAGCATGCACATGCATTTTCGGTGGAAAATTATATATATATTAAGGGCACCGAAAGTTAGCATGAAAATGTTGATTTTTAAATGGTAAAATCACAAACTTTAGTTACTAAACTTTAGGGTATTTACAAATTAGTCATTAGGCTTCAACAATAAATACCCTAGCTCATATAGCTTCAAAATCATCCCAAAGCATTCTAGCTTTCTTCCAATACTAGAGAATTTAGAGAGTTTCTTGAAAGTTGTTTTCTCCTTTTTTATCAAGAGAGAATTATTATTGTTTTCTCATTGGTAGATCGAGAGAAGTTGTAATTCCTATTTTCTCATAGTGAAATTCTTCTACCGTTGCCCGTGGTTTTTACCCTATATTATTTAGGGGTTTTCCACGTAAATTTTGTGTCTTCTTTTATCTTCATTTTTATTTTATCAAATTATCAGTTGTGATTTTGCTCTATCCGATAGCCGTCTTCCGTAACAATTGGTATCCGAGCCAGATTTGAGTGTGTAATATATGCTTATTGTCTTTGTGGTTGCCATCAAAAGGTGGATCCTCTAACATAAGAAAGTAAGAATGTATTACCCATTCTTTGAAGGCTCCAGAGAACTATTCACGATAGTGAAATAATGGGAGCTATCCGTAATAGAAGCTATGGCAACAAAATTTGATATTGAAAAAATTAAATGGGAGAAATTTCTCATTGTGGAAATTGAAGATGAAGGCTATCCTGAGGAAAGACGGTTGTCTAGCAGCTGTCAGTGAAAGGTCGGTAGATTTCACAGATGACAACAAATGGATCGAGATAGAGGGGAATGCTATGACAAACTTTCATCTAGTATTAGCAGATGAAGTATTGTCAAGCATCGAGGAGAAGAAGATAACTAAGGAGATATGGGATCATCTCACCAAATTGTACGAGGCCACATCGTTGCACAATAAAATTTTTCTTAAGAGGAAATTATACACTCTTCGTATGCCAGAATCTACTTCAGTGACAGAGCACTTAAACACACTGAACACTTTATTTTCTCAGCTTACATCCTTAAGATGTACAATAAGAGAACAAGAACGTGCTGAACTTCTACTTCAAAGTTTACTTGATTCGTATGATCAACTCATCATCAACTTGACAAACAGTAATGTCACCAGTCTAGTCTTCGATGACGTTGCAGCTGTTGTTCTAAAGAAGAAAATTGGCGCAAGAACAAGGAAGACAAACAAGTAAATCTACAACAAGCAGAAGCGTTGACAACGATGAGAGGGAGATCAACGGAACATGGCCAAAGCAGCAGTCACAAACATTGTAGATCAAAGTCGAGAAGCAAGAAGAATTTAAAGTGCTATAATTGTGGAAAGAATGGTCACTTGAAGAAGGATTGTTGGAGTCTATATAAAAACTCCAGTCCACAAGGCAATACCGCAAACACTTCAGATGATGGAGATGCTCTATGTTGTGAAGCGTCAACCACCGTGGAATGTAGAAAGAGATTTGCAGATATATGGCTCATTGATTCGGGAGCAACATATTACATGACCTCAAGAAGAGAATGGTTTCATCGTTATGAACCTGTCTTAGGAGGATCTGTGTATAGTTGCAATGATCATGCCTTAGAGATCGTTGGCGTTAGAACCATTAAATTGAAGATGTATGATGGAACAATTAAAGTTGTTCGAGATGTGTGGCACGTGAAAGGCCTGAAGAAAAATTTATTATTCTACGGGTTGTTGGATAATAATGCAAGCAAGATTGAAACACAAAATGGAATCATGAAGGCATTCCGTAGAGCGCTTGTAGTGCTGAAAGGCGAAAAGATAACAACAAACTTGTACATCCTGAAGGGGGAGACTTTGCTAGAAGTAGAAGCCTCTGTTGCCTCATGTAGTTCAGATTCTGTAATGCTACGGGATCAGAAACTTGGACACATGTCAGAACAATGAATGAAAGTCCTTGTGGAGCAAAAGCTACTTCCAGGCTTAACAAAGGTATCACTTCCTTTGTGTGAGCATTGCATAACAAGTAAGCAGCACCAGTTGAAATTCAACACATCAAATTCTAGAGGCAAAGGTGTTATAGAATTGGTTCACTCTGACGTATGGCAAGCACCAGTTAGATCCCTAGGCGGAGCAAAATACTTTATCTCATTTATTAATGACTACTCCAGGAGATGTCGGGTGTATCCTATTAAGAAGAAGTCAGATGTGTTTTCAACTTTCAAAAACTTCAAAGCACGGGTGGAACTTGATTATGGAAATAAGATCAAGTGTTTCTGAATAGATAATGAAATAGAATACACAAGTGAAGAATTTGATGACTTTTGCAGGAAAGAATGCATCAAAAGACAGTTCACAGTGCCGAACACTCCTCAACAAAATGG